CATCTGATTAAGACTGTTTCACACTGTAACCATTCTAAATATGTCTGTATTGCATGTGAATGACTTATATATGATTGTACCATTCAATGTACACACACAATTTGACTGAGTTTGAATGACATTAGAATAACACATTCCCTTCCCACTCAGTCTAAACAACTCTTACTCTGGGCTGAGCAATAATGTTAGCAAAAAAAAAACAAAAAAAAAAAAAACAGATAATTGTAAGACTTTATTAAATTTTGCAGAATTATTTTTTAAGCTTTTTGAAAAAAATAAAAATAGAATTTTTTGGCAACATGTGGAAACCTTACAGTATTGTTGAACATTTTTTGTCAAGATTTACAAACTCTACATTTCATTCAATTTCACAAAGCAATCAATGAAATATAAAAACTTAAAGAAAACATATGCAAAAAACAAAATTGCATTTTTATTAAATAATTATTTGTTATTTTAATCATTAAATTGTTTGTAAAATAGTGGGAGCATTTTGTATGTTAAATAATAAAACTTATTTATTGTACTAAGCTACACACCCTAGTAAAGCCAACTGTACTTTGTACCCCTTTACCTGTTTGCAATCTATGGCTATTTTACACGGTGTGACATAGATGGACAGACTAATGAAAGTCACAGAATTTTATAGATAGAGAGATAGATTTTCTGGACATATCTTAGGTCTGTAACAGAATTAAAATATACATGTTCATACAAACACAAGCATACATATCCACACAATCTGAATGATATTGAATAATTAAGGGCTAATTCCCTTTTCTGTCTGGCAGCAACCCCTGGGTAACAGGAAAAAGTAGCCCTATAAAGTAATATTTGTAATTCTGCATTTAAACTGAATACATTTTCCAATAAATGTACTATTTTAAACAGATAATTTGGATTTGAAATTTTATCTTGCAGTGAGCAAGAGACAAGTACTTAACTAGTTAAAATAAAAACAAACAAAAGCTTTTCTAAGTGCTATTAATGGGCAATAATTGTTTGCAATAACTTTATTAAAACAAGAGTTGTGTAGATGATGTGGTTGGTTTGTCTTGTAAATATACAGATTCATTAATTAGCTGCTTATATAAACAGATATCTTTTGATGAAGCTAACAGGTGGCAACTTGGATTTTGTAAAAACTAAAATGTGGAAAAGTAGTGGTTATTTATTGCATATGGTTAATATACAGGTTGCGATGGATAAATTGTCGTCTAAATTACACAAAAATGAAAATAACACTGACATCTCATTTTAACAGATATATTTACCAAAATTACACAAAAAATCTTGAAATACTTTTGTGGCCTTGTTAGGGCCAGAAATAAAGACATAAAGAGAGGAATTGAGTTAAACAAACATATTAACAGAAACAGTAATACAAACATATACAAACAAGAGTGTTACAGCAAGAATGTTCAGTCCGACTGTCAGAGCTGACTGCTGGAAACTTCCCTCTCCAAAAGGCAATACCTGCTCCTATTTATAGCTGGGAGAGTCCATGCATGCATGGGTAAATTACCATAACAAATATTAAAGAGTAAACTTATACAATAAAAAATCACCATTAACTTCAACCATGGCCTCTAGACAACTTTGGAATATCCTACAACTCTTCTGCACAGTATCCTTGTTTAAATTGGTGAATGTTGCTATAATCCTTGTTTTCAATTCATCTTTGATATTACAAGGAGTTTTATTCATCTCTTGCTCAAATGTGCACCATTTGCAAGGGGGTTACAGTCTGGGGAGTTAAGTGGCTAGATGTAAGGGGTGATGTGGTTGCAGAAATTGTCTCACAACCATGACTGGGCTCTCCTGATTGTGTGACATGGTGCAGAGTTGTTTTGCCAGACATAGGGTTTTCCAGCAGCCACCCTCTTGATCCAGGGCAGCACTACCTCGTCAAAGCACTTGATATAGGCCTCCATGTTGAATCTGAACTCCTCACCAACAAATTCAGGAGTTCTTTTCTTATCAGAACGATCAGAGTGAGTTTTCCGAGTTGCTGTACCTTTGTAATCACCATTAGACACATCCAACTCTTTCCGAATCCTCTGCACTGTTCTGACACCCAAATACTCTGAAACGTTCATATTGGAGCTTCCGGTATGAATGCCAAGTAGTACAGCATGCTGTTTCCAAATTTCTGGCAGAGTGAATTGTGTCATGGCGTTCTTTTTTTCTCACAGATGGTGCCCAACTGACCCTACTGTACTGTGCAGTTGACATAATCAAAAACAAACTATGTGTATGCACAAAATTAAAAATATAACATGGCGACAATTTATCCATCGCACCATGTATATATTTACAAGCTCCATGCAAAGAACTGGACAATATTTCTTAAAATCAGGGTTTATTTTTCTCTTCAGTGATGACACATTTTATAATTGACTAGCAGTATAACCCATCTTCAACTGGGTGTTTCATTACTGGGAATTTTTGCCATTCACTTGGAACAATTTTAGGTTAAAATCCACCCACCCAAAAATCAATATTAGTAACAACAATTGAGTGCAACTGAGGCGCATCCCCAAATGGGGGGGGGGGGGGGGTAACAATTTGAATGGATGGGTGGCCCTGAAAGAGCCGATTTTGTGTTTTCAATCTTGCAGGGAAGGAACCTCTTCCATGGACCGTCATAATAATAATATACAATAATTTTTATTTATATTATATTTTTTTTATAATTCTAATAATCTTTTGCATTAGATTTCAACTCTCTAAATTGACTGTACACTGTTTTTTTACAGACATTAAAATTTGCCTTTTATTTTTGCACAAAGTGTAAAAAAAATCAGTTTTTTTGTTTTTTCACCTTCAAGGCTGTAATTTTTTCCAGCCAATTTGAACTCAAAACCAGCACTGAAGAATTATCTATCAAACAAAAAAAAAAGATTTATTGAAATTGGATGAAAACTGCGGAAACGCATAAACATCATCCACACACACATTTTAAGAATTATAGATATAGATGCAATAATAATTATCAATTTTGTACTGGCAGACTCTCTCTCATTCTGTTATCATTAGATACAAAAACAAGGTTCCCAGAATTCCTCAAGACAAATATCTAAGGAAATTTTTATAAATATTTGAAACAAAACATTAAAAAAATAATCTCAAGTAATCATAAAAACATAATTTTACTCTAATATACTTGGTATATGGATATGCAAGTTTGGTAGCTAGGAATGAGAAAACAGTAAGCAGAGTTCAAATTCCAGTAATTATTTAATCATTTCATTATAAGCAAACAAAGCCACTAAGCCACAAGGGGTTACTGAGTGTGGAAGAATATGAGAAAAAGAAAAACATTATTAAAGAGAAAGAACAATAAAAGAAAAGGAATTAAGAAGACATTGCATTTACATTTATGAAGATTAAAGTTGCCTGGAAAGCCAGAAGGGTGTTCCACAAGCAAAAAGTACAAGAAAAGCAACTGCTAGCTTAAAACTTAGTTACATCTGGCGATTTCATCTAATAAAATCAGGAGACCTAGCTGTCAATCTATTACTGTGGTTAAATTTGTAAAGTTGAGATACCTGAGGAAAGCTCATTAGAAAAATTACTATGAAAATATTTATAGAAATGCATAGGGAAGTTATGCTACATGTTGGGAAAGTGACTGAAGTCATGATGCCAGGTTAGAATTGATAGTATTGCAAATTCTCCTTTGGATTATATCAAGATCCTCAAAATACATAGCAGAAGCATGTGTCAGAAATATGCAATGCATGGACAAATGCTCAACTTATGTATAAGATACATTCTGATGAGAAAAATTGCCTAACACAATATAAAAGTTTCTCTAAAAGTTTCAAAAAAGAGCAGTTTTGGTTTTAAGGTGTTAAAATTAACAAGCCATTTCTTGAACTTAGTGAACATTATCACACACTTTCACATAAATGCCTTCAAGAAAGGTATGAATATATCTCTTCTACCTCCCCCACCAGCTTCAGGTTAAATAGAAGAACGCACTTGGCTTTCTACCTGTGTTTAACAACCAGTCTAGGTGAAAAAAACCGTGTAACAGTTCGGAATGGGAAATCAAAGTGCTGCATTTAAATTCCAGTCAGGTCCATACCATTCCTAAAGGTATTTGCACTTACATGCAAATACCTTTAGGAATGGCATGAATCCCTCTCTTCTCCTCCTAACTATGGATTGGATAGCAGGACAAATTGGGTTCTATAGACTTGGTTGACAACCAGTCTATTGCAGAAAGAAATTTTCAAATGTGTATTCAGTCTCTAGCTTACAAAATGGGTTGAGAATATTTGCATAATTGCATAAATTGTTTCCCATTTTATTCTTTTGTCAATTCTCATGCTAAGCAGTTACAGTTCTAATAGAAATGAAACCTGACCCTGATCAAATACCTTGAGCCACACCTAGAATAGTGGGAAAGGCATGACTGCTACTCTCTAAGCATTTTATCCCATTAACAGTAATGTTGATTTTTGCTCACATCATGTTGCAACACCAGTTCCCATACAATCACTGAAGTTAAGCAATGTTGAGCCTGGTCATTACCTAGATGGGAAACCAATTGGGAATATCAAGTGCTGTTCACACTCCCCCACCCAGGTATTTTGAACAGGAATAGAGATTTATCTCTTGTTTTCTGCTTAGGACTGGGCTTCTCATTCAATCCCAGTAACCACATATGCCTTAACGGCAATATCAATGTGCTTGGGGTGGATTTATATATATATATATATATATATATATATATATATGTCCACAGTTGTGCATAACACATTTCATCAGTGCCAGAAGGTCATAAATCTATTGAATTATTATCAGATATATTTATACCCTACAAAATAAACACTGATCATAGACTCCAAATTTGAAATATGTACTATGCAAGATGCAAGAACCCATTAAGAATATGACATTTAAATATTCATAAGCACTTAAAATGCTCAGTTGTATTTTGTAGAAAAAAAAATATATATATATATATATATATAGCTAGCCACATCACATTAAGCACCAGTTCTCATATGATCAATGAAGTTAAGCAATGTTGAGCCTGGTCAGTACCTAGTGGGTGACCACATGGGAATACTAGGTGCTTTAAGCTTTGGTATACAAGTGGTGTAATGGATAACAGCTCAGAATTGTTAATTAAAGCGCTGAGTTCCAATTCACATTGGGTTTGTTATACACTAAAAAATGTTAAACATTGGTTTTTCTCAGCTATGATCTTAATGATTATAATAAGACATAGTAAAACCATTATTATCTAAAAAAAAAAAAAAAAACACACACACACACACTTACAATCTAAAAATATTTCCTGGCATTAAATATCCGACAATAGGCTGATAAGCAGTAAAAAATGATTCAGTCAATTCAGTAATGTTGTCAATAAATTATATAAGATGTTCTTGCTTGCAGCTGGGATCATTATTATCTATAACATAATATATGGAGAGGAGGTGATGGGTTTTGTCAAGAAACTTTCTTTGTCCCTTAAGATCCCCAAAACTTCTTGACAGTACAATCCAGTATAGCACTTGAGTGGTTTAGATTTTGATCCTCCAGCCATGCTACAGGGTGGGGTGGGTGTAAGAAGGTAGTTATCAAAACCATGCTTAAAATTCTGATACAGTTTACCAGATAAAAAAGCTGCAGGTAGAAATGGGAATCAATCTATTGCCTCCTATTACTTATCAGACGCTTCCACTTTGTAAACAATCAGTTTTTTAAAATTTTGTTTTTTTTTTGGGGGGGGGAAGGGGTACAAGAGTTGGTGGGGAGGTAATGAGCAGTATTTTTTCTAGAAACTTATAATTAAAATGGAACAAATAAAAATAAAGATTAAAACATGTAATGCCAACAGAGAAAGAGAAACAATATTTCTTGCTGGAAAGAGAGAGAGAGAGAAATATTGTCTCTCCTGTTTGTCAAGTGATTTTACAAGAGAAATAAGTTCAAAGTATTATAATCCCCTTCCTAGTTAAATCAATATCATCAAAGTTACAAATAAAAGATCAAACAAAAATGTTAACAATTTCTAATGATTTTCTCTGAAATGGTTTAAATGATTTTTAGCTCATGAATTGTGTTAGCTTTCTGCAACCAACACAAAATTTTAATCAACATTATTACTCTAATTTAAAATTAATTTTAAAACAAAGTCAGTTAATCGAGTAGTAACCGCTTTTTCTTTTTTAATTTTTATAAGGAATTTTAATCACAATATCTAAAGCAACTTGCCATAAGAAAAGGCTCTTGTTATTCTAACAGCGAGGACATTAGTCTGACTAAATAATAACTTCTCATTGCAGAAATTAAGATAAAAAAGGGTCTTGTAGTAATTAAAAAATACCATTTGACCAATGCAAAATTAAGTAAAAATTTAAATAAATTTACAAACCTCATGTTATGAAATACGTTTTTTTTTGTTTTTTTTTTAGTTTGGTCATAAATCCATTAATAAGCAAAACTAAATTAAAAAGAGAATCAAAGGGGTTAATACTCACAGGTGACAATTCTTTACCTTTTTTTCTTTTGTACATTTTACTATTTTGTTAGTGTGTTTTTATGAGGTATGTCTGGAAAGCATCTAGCCATTTAATATTAATTAGAATTTTTAAATAGAAAGCCTACCTAGAGTAATGGGGACTTTGTCCCCTTCAAAATATATCTCAGGGTCCTTACAATAATCCCAGAGGCCCTTCGTCTTCGTCTGTTCATGCATGTACAATAAGGTCCACTCTGATTGGTTGCAATTTATAAAATCTGCATAAGACAAACTATAAATTTCAAATCACCTAATTTCTTCCATTCCTGCAATCTTTGGCAGAGAATCAATATGGATTTGTTCTTTCCTGCTGCAATTACATAATTGTGAAGTGATAATGAGAGTTACACTTCAAGTAACTAAAATGGAACCTTAAAAAGTGTCTGCTATCAGCCACTGAACTAAGTGTCAATACTGGAAAGAGTGTGAACACAGTGAATAGTGAAGTGAGCAGTTTTTAGATTGATCACGTGACCTGTACCTCATTAGAGTCCTCGAGGCACCACGCGTACTGCATCTGCAGCAGAAGTGGTGTGTCTTGAGCAAGATAGCCTGATGGAATCAAACCTTCTCCAGGTTGGTTTGAATCAAAAGTGTTCCTTCTAGACTGGTTGCCACCCAAGGCTATAAAACCTAGTAATACCTATTTTTACTCATACCTAGGGGAGGGAGGGGAAAAGAGATGGATTCATACCTTTCCCAAGAGTATTATCACATAAGTGAATGTAATGAACTTGACTGGAATTCAAACTCAGCTCTCCAATTCTTCAATCTGAGTCGCAATCCATTACTCCACAGTGCCTCCATATGTTTTTAGATATGAAGTTTATTTATCAAGGTTAGATAGATAATTATTTCAAAGTTTTCAGTTTTGGGCTCTGAACCAAGTTTCTCTGCAAAAGTGAAGGGTATCTCCAGATGCTTGATTGGTTCTTAAAAAAAAAATGTTTGGGATAGAATGATGGAAAGAGAAATTATAGGCCAAAGTGTATCATTTACTGAAAACATTTATTTGCAAAGTTTGTTCTCTTAATGAGGCCATTAAAGGATCATAGCATTTGAACAAAATGGACTAGTTTAGTGGTTAGAAATGGACAAAACAGAATACCAAATTCAGCCTTGGCACCAGGTCACAATAGTGGAGCACCCAGTGAGAATTTAACCACACTAACAATGGCCTGTGAGACTAGCTGGCTAGTCATTTACTCTATAGTAGGAATATATATGTATATATAAATATGAGAGGCTAATACATTGAAAATTCAGTAGATAAGATATTAATTACTAAATATTACCTGATCCTGATAACTTGAAAGCTTACATAAAAACAGACATAGGTATTTTAAGATCAAGTGATATATTGAAAGGTGTAAAACAAGATATCTGCAGAGCTATATTATTCTGCATTGTGTATTGTAAAACCTTGCCTCAAATTACTATGATAAGTCTTAGTATATTGATAGGTGTATGCTTAGTTTTTTACTATGAAGATGTATTGCTGCTCTTTTTACTATAAAAATGTATTTTTATACTTCATAGTGTTTTGACCCCAGTTTGGAGGCTAACTATTTACCCATAGCTGGGACCCCAACAGGTGCTAACACCCCCTAAGAACAACAGCAATTAAGAAGTAGTTCCACACTCCTCAAAACATCCTGATCAGGAGCCATGCTGCCAGATGTAGTTTATTGTTATACCCAGGATGGATAGGCATATGTGGAGAGGTAAACTAAGATCTTCTGTCAAGTAGGGCCCCACCTTACTTTGTGCAAGATTAATCCCTGCCTCAACAAAAAAAACATGGCTATTATGATGACTGATGACATCATCACTGTGATGCTTATCTAAACCGAAAGTGAATATCAATCTGGTTTTTCTACTGTTGGCCAGCTCCTTTCAAATTTAATTTACGCAAATGATATTGCTGCTCTAAGGAATTCATGTTAGGGCTTACAGGCTGAACATTTTGTAAATGTGTTTAAAACCGAATGCATGACAATTGATGAAGTGAACTCAAACTTTCAACTCACAATCTATGCTAAACTAATTAAATAAGTATCTGAATCTATATATCTAGGATACAAATTGTCAGGTAAAAATACTGGAACGATTGCAATTCAATATAGAATTGAATTAGGTTGGGCTGCTTTTGTGAAGAACAAGCTTGCTCTAATATCAAAATGTGCTCCATATCATATCCGTAGAGTAATTGGTGATGGTTAAATGAAATTGGCAGAAATATGCCCAACAAACAAAACTGACAAAGTTTCCAATAAACAACAACAAAAGAAAAGAACAGGGCAAAAAAATAATACTAAGCAAACAATATATGCAAGACAAAAGTAGGCAATGCAACATTAATGAGGCAAAAAACTTCACAAATTAAGAATGGTGTTAGCACACAAAAGGGATATAGATAAGTGATTGCAGCTTTCTGACCTCAAGACAAAGAAGAACAAAAATATGGAGGATTAGACCAAGAAGTAGTTTATCTTATTTGCTAGGAAAAAAACCCAGCATGACTCAGTATGTTTTGTCTATAAATTTGGGGAGGAGGATGTTTCTACAGTTATTCCAAAAGAATTGGAACCAGCAATATCAAATATAAGATCTAAGAAGTGTGAGAGAAGAAACTATTAGAATAGAACTTATGGTTACATTCAGTAATTTGAACAGTATAATGATAAAGTCTAGTTGCCAATCTAATCCTGTATTTAAATTCAAGAAGTCAAGGCACCAAAAAGGAAAGCTCATCAGAACAATTGCCATTAAAATATTTATAAAACAAATTACAGATTTTTGATAAAATCTACAGAAGAATCTGCAATGTTATTGGTCCTCACCTGACATCTTGGCTTCAGTCACTTTCCCACTGCTGTAATGTAGCTTCCTTGTGCCTTTTCTAGAAATATTTTCATGGTAATTGTTCTGATGAACTTTCCTCAACCTTTCGGAGATTATTTAAAACCAGAACATATTTTTAGATTGTAAGAAATTATCTTTTTGTGATAATGATGATTTTAGTGATACAAGTTTCACTAATTAACCCATAGTTGGAGGAAGAAGAGGTAAGATTTATAACTTCCCCAAAGGTATTTGCACATAAGTGAATATAATGAACCCAATGGGTATTGGAACTCAGATCTCTAATTAATAATTCAGAGCCATTATCTATTATACCACCCACACATCCAAGCTTACAGCACCTGGTATTCCCAAGCAATCAACCATCTAGGTGCTGCCCAGGCACAATGTTGCTTAACTTCGGTGATCATATGGAAACCGTGTTTTGTGTTAAATAATAGGACATGTATCTGGAAAAAACATTGTTATCTCTAAAAAAAAAAAGTTGGTTAATGCAATATTCACTAGAGAAGAAAAAAAAATCTCTGGGTCTGATATTGTTGAAAAGTCAATTAAAAGAAACACAAACACAAAAGTGAATAAAATTGGTGAGGTTTAACTGATACGAGTTATCTCCCCTAAGCATGGAAAGTGTAATAAGAACGATCTATCCCAATTGAATGAATAAAGGGTTCAGTTTGAAATTCCAAAGTTACCAATAACAGACACCTATAAAAGACCAGTAAGTACAACAACTGAACTTATGGTCAAATCACATTGCAAATGCAGGTTCGCGTTCAATCACTGCATGTTGTTTACAATCTGCTAGGAATGACTTAAGCAGACTTAGCAGTTAAACAGTGTTGAGGTTGATCAATAGTTAGCCGGGAGACCACTTGGGAACACCGGGTACTGTAAGCAACTTCCTATAATCTGAAATATGCTCTGGCTTTAAATAACCCACAATAAGCCATAAAAAAAAAAAACAATCAATAGTTGAAATGCTATGAGTATAACAACCAAGATATGTATGCTTGCTTGAATAGTAAAGTTTATAATAACTGTGATTATTAACCATAGTTAAGCATAATTGACAAAATTATCAATAGACAAGAAGAAGAGGAGGAAGAAAAAGAATAAACAGTTTTATTTTAAAATATTTTTTCTCGTCTTTATAACAAACTATACAGTAATACCTTGAGATATGAGCATACTGAGATACAAGCTGGAGTTTGGCTGATATTTTGCCTTGAGATATGAGAGAGTTTCAATTAAGCATCCACAGTACACTTGTTCACCTTTGCTTTGAAAGGAACTCTTGTGTAGTGTTGTGTCTTTTTTGACATTATTTTGCAAAATTAATTTAGTGGTACCACATGTCTGAAGAAAGTAAGTGTAAAGTGCAGTGATGAATTTTTAAGGGCCTGGAATTCTTCGGAAATGTTCCCATTAATTTCAATGGGGAAAATTGTTTTGAGTTACGAGCTCAGTCTTGGAATGAATTAAACTCATATCTCAAGGCATTACTGTATATGCAGCCTAGTTGGATATGTAAGCTTTGATAGAATAGGTAGGAATGATTAATGTCACAATTTGTATTCATTCAATAGTGGAAAGAAAAAATAAAACAATAATTTCAGTTGTATTTTGGTGATAACTGCATTTGAATCTGGCATGACTAAATGAAGTTGATGGGCTTTTCTCCATTTATTTTAGCCATTTTCTGCATTATCAAACTAAATATTTCGAGAAGAAAGTGAAATAAACTTTGATTAAACATGGAATTTTGTCATTTTTCAATTTAAATTCAACCTTGGTTTGTGCATTGAAAAATTATATTTATAACAAATGTATTGCTAATGGTTTTGTTATAAAAATACACTAATGATAATCAGGAAGAAAGGGTTTGTCAGTGGTCAGGAATTAAAGCAAGACTTACTGGCAGAATAAGGCTTTATTTTGTTTAATCAGTATTAAAAATTAAAAGAAATATTATACAGGGTGTGGCAGAAATATCTCCCACATGATGGTAAGACATTAGTTAGATGAAGACATCATTGCCATTAATGTCTTAACATTATGTAAGAGGGTTATGTTCTACAGCCTATATTTTTAAAAATGTATCTACATGATACATATAACAGCTCTATTCTGTGAATAACACTTGCATTAATTCCTGAAACTAGCAATTGTTTTCTTCCTCAATGTCTGTGTATTTCTATAATAAAGCTATTAGGAATACATTTACATTATACATATAATGTATCTTACATATCTATAAGCCTACCTATCATTCACATATGGTCTGGTGCAACTGCTATTTAATTTACTTTGAGCTCCTTGATAAGATCCAAAGAAGAATTGGCTTGTCTTCAGTCACTTTCACTGTAGGTTGCCTCTTTGTGTCTTTTTTTCTATAAATACTTTCATGGTATTTGTTCAGATGAGCTCTTCACTATGTGTTATAGTGGAACACACCTATTCTATAGTTAATAGACTCTCCCACCTATAATAAGTAGGAGTAATGAGGGAGTCGCTCAGTTGGTTAGTCAGTCAATGCCGGACTAAAGTATCAGCGACCACAACTAGATTTACTCTGCGTTATACCTATTATATGAAGTTCCTAATGTTTTGTACATCGAACCTATTTTAGGACAGACTTAGTACAAATATAAGCCTCCACTGTGAAATCACTCCACAACACTATGGTACCTAGACTTTTTGAATTTAAGTGCAGTACTGGACTGGTGTCAAGATCTCATCAATTTACAATTGAGCTTTCTAGATGTAGCTATAAGTTCTACAGTTTCTTTTCTCACATTTCTTGCTTGTGGAACTCTCTTCCGGCTCCATGTTTTCCAGCTAACTTTAATTTGCAAAAATTTAGATGCAATGTCAACTGCTATCTACTGTCCTCCTCACTACGCTTTACTCTTTCCAACCATTATTAATGTTTCTGTTCCTAATTCTTCTACATCATGTAAACCCTTGTGTTTTAGTGGCTTTACTGCCCTGTCTGGGATGATACTGATTTAAAAAAAAAAAAAAAAACATGTTTAATCAGAGGAATAGTGTTTAATACTTTTCTTGACAATTCTCAAAAATAGAGTAATAGCAGTATCAAGAGAAAAATTGTCCTTTTTGACAGACCTTTTTTTTGTGTGTCTGCATGATGTTTGTTAAATTTTACTTAAATTTCTATAATTGTGTTTTTTTTTTTAGGAAAAATTGATTAGCATATCTTCTGTTCACCTGGGAGTAGTGGAGATTGTACTATTATAAGGACATGTTCATAAATGAGAAACCAGAGGGACCCAAAGGTAAAATAGGCAAAAACAAAGAAAATTGCATATTTTGTGTCATTTTTATTGAATGTAGCTCAAATAATATGACAATATATTTTTTTCAATTATTCCCAGAATTTTCCCCATAAATTTGGATATAAAATTTTAAACGGACCCATGTATAGTTAAAACATTGTCCAAAGTGAATGATATGAGACCAAACAATTAATTTTTTGATTACACACAAATTGAACAAAATTTCAGCAATGTCCAAAAAAAAAGAAAAAAAAAGACCCTAATTTTTCAGAAATTAGACACATCAAAGTTGTCCTGATATCATTGCTATTTTTAAAGCTATCAAGAAATGCTTATTTTGCAAAAAATTAAAACATACAGGTATCAGGTTAAATTCAAATGTTTTGTTAGGCTATATACGCAATATTCAACAGAGTATGTTTTTAAAAACAATAAGACAACAAATTGTCCATAAATATATCATCCATGATATTTCATTGGTTTAGCCTCTAATTTCATGAACAAGAAGGTCATATGACCAAAATATAACACCTCATTGATGAGAGGAAAAGGCGTTATAGGTTTTGGTCACCATAAGTGTCATAGAGACAGGACAAATCATGCATATATGGAGAGAAGAGAGAGATCACTGCCCACTATTGGAGGAAGTTAAAATCATCACTGAAAAATATGAAAACTTAAGGAATCAGTGCATATGCTAAGCTACAAAAATCTCCTAAACCTAGCCAAACATAGAAATGAATACAATATGGAAACCAGTAATAGAGAGAGCTAGAGAAAAACAATAACAAAATATTGTAATATGAGCTCTGGTAAAAAAAAAAAAAATTACCAAGACATTATAACCCCACCAAAATTCACTCACTAATGTCCCCAAGAACACATGGCCCAGTAAATAAAAGTGTTGGTTGATTGATCCAAAAATGAATTGATCCAAAGAGTTCAATGCCTGGCCACAACAAAGGGAATAAAAACTGGAGAGTTGAGTTGTCAAGGGAAATTAACTAAAAATTGAGATATCCAAAGGCATGGCATGTGGAATTAGAAAAATCTACCCCCGTGGACTAAATAAAGGATTTGGTTCAAAATTCCAACAAATATCACTTGAAAAAGGCCAAAGCATAAAATGTTTTATGAATAAGATATATTATGGACACGATTGTCTAAAGAAAAAAAGATTTTCAATGAATAATGAATTTTTCCAAAAACTGTTTTCATTTTTTTTTTAATTTTATTAGAATAATTCATAAAGCTTTAAATTTCTATATTACTTCATGCTGGTTAAGTGATATTATTATTAAGTAAAAACTATATTTACTAATCATAAATAGAAAAGCTTACTACAATTCATTAAACACCAATATTTTAAAAAATATTTTGAGGGTATAAACATGCCAATTTTTGTAAATACAGCCATCCATACATAACATTATCAGAAAATAAGAGTAGTAAATTTAAAACCAAAATACCTAAAATTCAATAAAACATTAGATTACATAGAATATTTTCCTATTTTTAAGATTAAGAGCAGTTAAAAATTATATAAAAAAGGTGCTTACATTATATTCAAGTAAATTTTACAGATATATCCACTGTAGAAAAACATTAGCTGAACGTCTGTCATTCAAGCTGTCAACACCTAAAATAAACGGCTACCAGTGTTAAAAAAATGTATTTCTGTGATATTTTACATTCAAAGTAAATAATATTTGTTTCAAATCAGATTAATTAAACTTTATTTCAGCTAATATTCCTCAAATAAAGTTTCAGAAAAGCATATTTTATTTTTGAAAGATTTTTTAATAAGGAGAATTACATTGTGATGACAGATGGCTAAAAATGGCACTAAAATCAGCAATTCTTATCGATTTCAAAACGAAAACTCCTTCCAGATAATTTAGTTTTGAAATATAACAAAGTATTTTGTTCATTGGAAATATTAATTTTTTTAATTCTATTAGCTTGAAATTTTAAAACTAAAATAAAAGCCTCAAGAGTTTTCATTTTTTTAAATTCATTTTAAAACTATGTATCATGAATTTTTGGAAGTACCTACTTAAGAGAAAGAAAAAAAAAAAGGATTTTTTTTTTTATTATATTTTTTAAACCTTTTTCTGAACCTTC